TCACTACTTGGCAGTATAATGTCTAGATTCTTTTATCTTTTTCCTGAGAAATCAGAAGAAAAACTGCTGGCTGTTATGTTTAGGATCTTGAGCACAACACATGCAGGAAGATCATAATGTAACAAATAGCACACCATAGCATAACGACTGGGACACTGTGCAAGTCAGTGGTAAACAATTATGTACAAGGGCAATCACTTAAAAATCTCCCACCTCATTGAATTTTGGAGAGAGCAAAAAGCTCACAAAGAATTATACCAAGAAATATAAGAAGTCTCACTCTGACTGCCTTTCTCAAGTTAGATCAGAATGGAGACAAGTGATTTTTATTATTTGATGTGGCATTGAAGTATGAGCAAGATAACACTAATGAAGGCACTCAAAGAAACTGATTCACTGGATTTGAGCCCTGGAACTGAAAAGAACAGTATCTGTACTCTCAATGAGGGGTGAGTATATTGCAGTTTGGAAGGCCACTTGAACTGTGATGTCAACATACTTTGCAAGATAAAGATTGTGTGAATGATGAATTTTTTTTGTGTGTGTGTGTTGGGGGGGGGGGCAGGAGGGGGCACCCTGTCTCAGTGGGAGATGGCCAGTATATTAAAAAAAAAATGAAAAAATCCAGTCAGATGAGTTTACAAAAGTTCAAGACTAGAAAGGATTCAAACCCTTATCCTGTATCCATTTTGTATACCACAAGTACATACTCTTTATGAAGACAGGGCACCTTTAACCCTTTGACTGTTTTCGTCATATATATACGTCTTACAAGCCAGTGTTTTTGACGTATTAATACGCCAAAATTCTAGCGGCTTCAAATCAAGCGGGAGAAAACTGGTAGGCCCACATGTGAGAGAATGGGTCTGTGTGGTCGGTGTGTGCAGTATAAAAAAAAATCCTGCAACACAGAGTGCATAATGAGAAAAAAAAACTTTGACCATGTTTTTGGATTAAAACGCTGACTTTGAGGTGTATTTTCGTATAGTATTTATGGTTGTATTCTCATTTTCTTGGTCTCATTTGATAGAATGGAAGACATATTACAGAAACAGATATGATTTTGATTGGTCTTACGATGAAAAGGACCTTGAAATTGAGCTCAAATTAGCAGAAATGTTTGATTTTTGCCGATGTTTAAGAGTAAAAGTCCAACAAGCCATTCTAATACGCAGTCATGAATGGGTTGACATTATTTATACAATTATTACAATAATTACAATAATTACAAATATTACAATAATTCTGTTGAGTGTACCTGGTAAAGTGTATGGTAGAGTTATAATTGAAAGAATTAAGAGTAAGACGGAGAATAGGATAGCAGATGAACAAGGAGGCTTTAGGAAAGGTAGGGGGTGTGTGGACCAGGTGTTTACAGTGAAACATATAAGTGAACAGTATTTAGATAAGGCTAAAGAGGTCTTTGTGGCATTTATGGATTTGGAAAAGGCGTATGACAGGGTGGATAGGGGGGCAATGTGGCAGATGTTGCAAGTGTATGGTGTAGGAGGTAGGTTACTGAAAGCAGTGAAGAGTTTTTACGAGGATAGTGAGGCTCAAGTTAGAGTATGTAGGAAAGAGGGAAATTTTTTCCCAGTAAAAGTAGGCCTTAGACAAGGATGTGTGATGTCACCGTGGTTGTTTAATATATTTATAGATGGGGTTGTAAGAGAAGTAAATGCGAGGGTCTTGGCAAGAGGCGTGGAGTTAAAAGATAAAGAATCACACACAAAGTGGGAGTTGTCACAGCTGCTCTTTGCCGATGACACTGTGCTCTTGGGAGATTCTGAAGAGAAGTTGCAGAGATTGGTGGATGAATTTGGTAGGGTGTGCAAAAGAAGAAATTAAAGGTGAATACAGGAAAGAGTAAGGTTATGAGGATAACAAAAAAGATTAGGTGATGAAAGATTGAATATCAGATTGGAGGGAGAGAGTATGGAGGAGGTGAACGTATTCAGATATTTGGGAGTGGACGTGTCAGCGGATGGGTCTATGAAAGATGAGGTGAATCATAGAATTGATGAGGGAAAAAGAGTGAGTGGTGCACTTAGGAGTCTGTGGAGACAAAGAACTTTGTCCTTGGAGGCAAAGAGGGGAATGTATGAGAGTATAGTTTTACCAACGCTCTTATATGGGTGTGAAGCGTGGGTGATGAATGTTGCAGCGAGGAGAAGGCTGGAGGCAGTGGAGATGTCATGTCTGAGGGCAATGTTGGTGTGAATATAATGCAGAGAATTCGTAGTTTGGAAGTTAGGAGGAGGTGCGGGATTACCAAAACTGTTGTCCAGAGGGCTGAGGAAGGGTTGTTGAGGTGGTTCGGACATGTAGAGAGAATGGAGCGAAACAGAATGACTTCAAGAGTGTATCAGTCTGTAGTGGAAGGAAGGCGGGGTAGGGGTCGGCCTAGGAAGGGTTGGAGGGAGGGGGTAAAGGAGGTTTTGTGTGCGAGGGGCTTGGACTTCCAGCGGGCATGCGTGAGCGTGTTTGATAGGAGTGAATGGAGACAAATGGTTTTTAATACTTGACGTGCTGTTGGAGTGTGAGCAAAGTAACATTTATGAAGGGATTCAGGGAAACCGGCAGGCCGGACTTGAGTCCTGGAGATGGGAAGTACAGTGCCTGCACTCTGAAGGAGGGGTGTTAATGTTGCAGTTTAAAAACTGTAGTGTAAAGCACCCTTCTGGCAAGACAGTGATGGAGTGAATGATGGTGAAAGTTTTTCTTTTTCGGGCCACCCTGCCTTGGTGGGAATCGGCCGGTGTGATAATAAAAAAAAATAAAAAAAATATTACAATAATGCAGTAGTCTGTATAACAGTAAATCTTCTATTTTTTGTGTGAATAAAAATTTAAAATAGAAAGCAAGAGTAATATAAGAGGGGCCTGGAGATGTGACTAATGAACAGAGAAACTGTTATTTTAGTGCCAGGAATGTCTGCATTGTTTATTCTGGACCCTATTTTGAAATTGACATCTTTTTTTAATTTGCGTGAAATTGGCCAAATTGCAAATTTCTGACCACTTTATTGGGTAGTTGAAATTCGTAAATGGGCGGTTTCTTGTACTCAATCGATAAAACAGATAGAGTTCTAAAAAAATAACTATGAGTTTGGTTGACTGGAAGAATGGAATTGGCTGAAAATAGGGCTCAAATTGGGTGAAATTACCAATGCGTATATATCACTGAGATCGCTAACTTCGCGAGAGCGTAATTCCATAAGTTTTCTATTAAATTTCATACTTTTAGTGTCATTACCATCGGAAAAAGATTCTCTATCATTTCATAAGAAATTTTTTCTTCGAATATTTTGTGACGCAGAGAGACACTTCAGGATTTGGGGTCTTGACAGTCAAAGGGTTAATTTCCAATGATACATCAGTAACATTAAGGTTCCCTTCAATATCACCAAGCACTTAGACGTCTTCTTTCTCACCACCCCTCACATGCAGCATACATCCTAACAAATAGTAGGGCATAGAAAAGTGGTTGTAAAGATATTAGAAGAAATGAAAAAAATACACAAAATAACCCTTCTGCAATAAATAATTAAATGCACAACCAAAGAAGTAGTCACTATCTCACAAAATTACATCATAATTTTATCCTTCAATTTATTAACCCTTTCAGGGTTTCTGACATACTAGTACGGCTTATGCACCAGGGTTTTTGACGGACTAGTATGCCTAAATTCTAGCGCCCTCAAATCTAGTGAGAGAAAGCTGGTAGGCCTACATATGAAAGAATGGGTCTATGTGGTCAGTGTGCGCAGTATAAAAAAAATCCTGCAGCATACAGTGCGTAATGAAAAAAAAACATTGACAGTGTTTTTAATTTAAAACAGCGACTTTGCACTATATTTTTGTATGGTATTTATGATGGTATTCTAGTTTTCCTGGTCTCATTTTATAGAATGGAAGACATCTTACAGAAATTGAGACAATTTTGATTGGTTTTACAATGAAAAGTACCTTGAAACTGAGCTCAAAGTAGCAGAAATCTTCGATTTTTTCCAAAGTTCAAAATTAAACAAATCATGTTACACGTCCAATACACGTCAACTGGTGAGTCTAATATTCTTTCACAAGTGTGCTGATATTATTTATATCATTTCTACACTAATGCAGTAGTCTGCATAACAGTAAATCTTCTATTTTTTTGTGTGAATAAAAATTCAAAGTGGAAAGCAAAAAAATGTATGAGGGGCGTGGGGACGTGACTAATGAACAGAGAAAATGTTATTTTAGTGCCAGGAATGTCTTTCTTGTTTGTTCTGGACCCTACTTGGAAATTGGCATCTTTTGAAATTTGTGTGAAATTGGCAAAATTGCTAAATTCTGACCACTTTATTGCATAGCTGAAATCGGTAAATGGGTGTTTCTTGTATTCATTCGATAGAAAAATGGAGTTCTAGCGAAATAGTTATGATTTTTATCGACTAGTACACTGGAATTGGCCGAAAATAGGGCTCAAAGTGGGCAAAATCGCCGATGCATAAACATCGGCGAGACCACTAACTTCGCGAGAGCATAATTCCCTAAGTTTTCCATCAAATTTCATACTTTTGGTGTCATTATGATCGGGAAAAGTTTCTCTATCTTTTCACAAAAAAAAAAGAATAATTTTCCAAAACATTTTCGACCCTGAGAACACGTTTTGGAGAGGGCCACTTGACCCTGAAATGGTTAACATACATACAGTTATCTCCATGTGGAAGTGGAACATAATTCTTCCTCTGTAAGCCATGCGTGTAATAAGAGGTGGCTAAAATACCAGGAGCAAGGGGCTAGTAACCCCTTCACTTGTGTACATTACTAAACTTAAAAAGAGAAACTTTTCTTTTTCTTTTTAGGTCACCCTGCCTCGGTGGGATATGGCTGTTTTGTTGGGGATGATTTTTTTTTTTTTTTTAACAGGTCGGCCATTTCCCACTGAGGCAGGGTGATCCAATAAGAAAGAAAAACCCAAAAAAGAAAGGAAAAACTTTCATCAGTTATACTAACCATATTAGCAAAGAAGTTTGCATGCTGTGGCTTTTCAGCATATTTTTCATACTGGTCTAGGCTGTCATGGAGTTTGAGTGTAAGACTATCATAGTTGTTCCGTACAACCTCCAAAACCTGCAATATCAATGTACGATAGTAGGAAGCTTTGTAGTCTACTGAACTGACTTCATTAAAAAAAAAAGGGGTGCTAGTAATTGCAGATTTCACAAAATGAAGGCTTGAGCCTTTCATATTTCACACTTGGTGAGAAAACAAAAGCTGCAAAATTCTATGTGAAAGCAATAATATTTACTAGTACCTCAAAGCAGCCAAAAATATCTGTACTCTTTGCAAACATATTTTGGATTATTTAGACACCTATGTCTTCTTCATTACAGTTAACTAAATGTCTACTGTACTTTTTTTAAACAATTAACAATGTAAGATAAACTATAGCACAGGGGCCCCTCACTTATGAGTTTGCTATATGAAGATTTCTACCACTGATTCCCTTTGTGCTATATAAATACATCTTATAAGCGAGGTTTGCAAAATGTACTGATGATTCTCATAAGGAAGAATTAAATGATGATGACCTGATTGAGATTAAAGCAGGTGTCATAAAGTTGGAAAGCATCTACCTAACAAAACAAAGGATACCTTCATTAAATTTTTTGCATATCAATAAAAATGTATATTTGGAAAACAAAAAAATTTAGCATAAAGATAATCAGAAGGGATTTTCACAAAAATTAATTAGTATAATTCTTCTCTAAAAAATATATGACTAACCTGTTCTTCAGTAAGAGTTGAGATGCCATGTTCTTGACTCCATTTGTCTAGCTTTGGAGTGAAATGGTTGATGATGGATCTGCAAAGACAAAAATAAAGAACATATAAAATACAGAAGTTAATCTGTACATAAATAGTAATAATAAAAGGTAAAGATACTATACAGAAATTAACTTACTGCACAATTTATTAGGTTTTTAAAAATTTTATGCACTAAGGATTCCAAATAAATTTTTACATAACATTCCACTTTTATTATAAATCACACAATATTGAATTTACCCATTTGTTTTTTTCAACAAACCTGCCATATCCCACTGAGGCAGGGTGACTTAAAAAGAATAACGAAAGTTTCTCTGTTTAAATTTAGTTATTTATAGGGGAGAAGGTGTTACTAGTCCCTTGCTCCCGGTATTTTAGTTGCCTCTTACAACACACATGGTTTATGGAGGAAGAATTCTTCTCTACTTTCCCATGGAGATAAGAGGAAATAAAGAACAAGAACTGTTAAGAAAATAGAAGAAAACCCAGATGGGTGTGTAAATATGTGTTTGTTTACATGTATGGGAGATGACACAGTTACTTTAGCTGATGATACTGTGCTTTACAGGGATTCTAAAGAAAAGTTGCAAAGGTTAGTGGACGAGTTTGGGAGGGTGTGCAAAGGTAAAATGTTGAAAGTGAACATAGATATGAGTAAGGTGATGAGGGTATTAAACAATTTAGAAAAAGAAAAACTGGATATCACAATGGAGAAGGGAGTTTGGAAGAAGTGAATGTTTTCAGATATTTGGGAGTTGACTTGTCAGCAGATGGGTTTATGAAGGATGAGGTTAACCACAGAACTGATGAAGGAAAAAAGGCGAGTGGGGCATTGAGGTATCTGTGGAGACAAAGAACATTATCCATGGAGGCAAAGAAGGGAATGTACCAACACTCTTATATGGGTGTGAAACGTGGGTTGTAAATGCTGCAGTGAGGAGGCGGCGGCTGGAAGCAGTGGAGATGTCGTGTCTAAGGGCAATGTGTGGTGTAAACATTATGCAGAGAATTCATAGTGTGGAAATTAGAAGCAGGTGTGGAGCTACTAAAAGTATTAGTTAGAGGGCTGAAGAGGGGCTGTTGAGGTGGTTTGATCATTTAGAGAGAATGGAACAAAGTACATAGAATGACTTGGAGAGCATATAAATCTGTAGGGGAAGGAAGGAGGGGTAGGGGTTGTCCCCGAAAAAGTTGGAGGGAGGGGGTAAAGCGTGCATGAGCATGTTAAATAGGAGTGAATTCAGACGAATAGTTTTTGGGACCTGACGAGCTCTTGTAGTGTGAGCAGGGTAATATTTTGTGAAGGGATTCAGGGAAGCCGGTTACCCGGACTTGAGTCCTGGAAGTGGGGAGCACAATGCCTTCACTTTAAATGAATAGTTTGGGATATTGGCAGTCTGGAGGGATGTCTAAGCTGCCATATCTGAGCACCTCTGCAAAGACAGTGATTATGTGTGAGTGATGGTGAAAGTGTTGAATGATGATAAAAGTTTTTTCTTTCTTTCTGGGTCACCCTGCCTCGGTGGGAAACAGCCGAGGTGTTAAAAAAAAAAATGTATGTGTAGTATGACTTAAGTGTAAGTAGAAGTAGTAAGATACACCTGTTATCTCACATGTTTATGAAAGAGAAAAAAAGACACCAGCAATCCTACCATCATGTAAAACAATTACAGGTTTCCATTTTACACTCAGCTAACAGGACTGTAGTACCTTTCTGAGTGGTTGCTGTCTACCAACCTACTACCTAGGACCATTTATATCCAGTAACAATTCTTTTCTTGATGCAAGCATCTGGAGTTTTCAGATATACTTTTGAATTAAATACAGTATACAGTACTAAAAGTTAATGCAAACCAACTTTAACCACTTGAGGGTCAGTGCCGTAGTTCTTCAGTTTTGAACTTTGGGTCAGTGCTGTAGAACTATGTCATGAGCTCAGCTCACTCAGATAAGTTGTGAGGGGTAAATTTTGGCCTAGATGTGAGAGAATGGGTCTGTGTGGTGAGTGTACACTATACAAAAAAAAAAAAAAAAAAAAATCCTGCCCCATACAGTGCATGATGTGGGAAACAAACTGTGACTGGGTTTTTGATTTAAAATAGTAAATTTGTGGTTTATTTTCAGATTTTTTTATTGTTTTATTCTCGGTTTCTTGGTAACATTTGATAGAAAGGAAGATATATTACTGAAACAGATATGATTCTGATTAGTTTCAGGACTGGAAGTAGCTTGAAATTGAGCTCAAAATAGCAGAAATATTTGATTTTTGTTGATATTCCAGAGTAAAAAAATCACATCACTTGTCCAATACATGTCCAACTAGTTGGTCTAATATGCATTTACAAGTGTGATGACATTACAATTATTACAATAATGCATAACAGTAAATCTTCTATTTTTTCTATGAATAAAAATTCAAAATGAAAATCAAGTGTAATATAAGAGAGAGGCTTGGGAACATAACTAATGAACAGAGGAAATATTATTTTAGTGCCAGGAATGCCTGCATTGTTTATTCTGAACCCTATTTTGAAACTGGGGTATTTTGAAATTTGTGTGAAATTGGCCAAATTACCAATTTCTGATCACTTTATTGGGCAATTGAAATAAATGATTGGGCAATTTTTTGTGCTCAGTTGATAAAATGGAAGACATACTATGGTCTACTGGAACAATGTAATTGGCCTAAAATAGAACTCAAAGTGGGCAAAATCGATGATGCATAAATATCACTGACACAGCAAAATTCACGAAAGTGTAATTTCGTAAATTTTCCATCAAATTTCGTACTTTTTGTTTTATTACCTGCAGAAAAAGATTCTCTACCATTTCACAAGAAAATATAATTTTTTTTTTTTTTGACAATTCTTGGATTCTGTGGACACTTTTCAGATCCGGGGTGTAGACCCTCAAGGGTCTAATGCAATGAATGCACACTGCTGCACTAAACTAAGACTGCTATTGGAATCTTATGCAGAGAACTAAGAGTTTTATCTCCCAGTCTAATGTTACATTGGAATATCCCTCCAAGCTCCTATAGACACCACCAAAATACCAGAGTAAAAATAATGCATGATTACCCCCCAAAAGAAAGCTTCAAAAATATCAAGGAGAAAAACAGGAAATTAAAGTTACCTAAGTATGCTCTCTTTATGATGGTCAGAACTCACCTCACATTTCCAAGGCAGTTTGTAAGCTTCTGAGCACTTTCTTTGTAATCTCCGTCTGTCCGAGAGTAACGAAGACTCATTGAATACATATTTTCAAATACCTGCAAAATAAATATTTATGGGATCTTTTCAAATGGTAATTTCGGACAAATATTTATTTATGAAACAAGAACTTATATAAATTCAGTATTATTAAGAGATTTAAAATACAATCAGAAGAATGAATAAATTAACTGGAAAAATAAAATAGTTTCTATACAGTACCTGGTGCATACGCATAATTTCATAATACAGTTCATCATAACTTGAGGGTGTTGACAAGAATGTGTCTCCATATGTGATGAATAAGTTGAAAATATTCATTACCTGCAACAAGCAAAAACAAACTTGAAGAGCTAATATTTTCCATGGGTTGCTGATTTTAGTTTTCTTCTGCTTCAACAGGTTCTGCCTAATTAATGTGCTTTTGCAGTCTGTAATTTTTTTGTTCTTAGATCATTTTAACAATTACTCCTTATGCCTACCGTTAGGCAGCCATTTACTTAACACTTAAAATTAAAGTCATCATATGGAAATGAATTTCCTTATAATGTTGTGAAATTCAACTGAATAACTAATCACCATGACTTCCTTTAAACATTCTGAAATTACATAAAAAAAAAATTAAAACCCTATTTGCATGTCTTAAACAGTGATATTTTTTTTCAGAATAATCTTTACACACATTATTATTATGACAACATTTTACCAGACTTCAGAAGACACAGGATTTTAGTGAGGGTGGTGATGAGGGTTCAGAGTGCCTGATTAGTACTGGTAGTAACAGATCAGATGTGTGAGGCAGTCTTGTACCTCAGAACTGGAAAGCTGAAGGAAGTTTTTCTTAGAGTATTCACATAAAATAGCAAAAAGAAACAAACTAACAAATATAGTGGAACCTCTACCTGCGAGTTTAATCCGTTCCATGACATTGCTCGCAACTGGATTTTCTCATTTGCAGAGTCAATTTTCCTCATTTAAATTAAGTGAAATGCAATTAATACCTTCCAGTGGAATTTTGTACTTCCATAATTTCGCTAATATCAACTCTACAGCTTATTTATGTATCTTACTTCATCTAATATGACATAATAAACAATATAAATAACATAGAAACCTGATACATACTCTAAAATGAATAAAATATGTCATTCATATAGTGGTATGGGCGGTGTTGGCGGTGGATGAGAGTTTGTCTGGTGACTGGACAAAATACTTCATGAATAATTTCGCTAATATCATGTATATGGCTTATTTATCTATCATGGTTCATCTACTATGACATAACAAACAATATAAATAATGTAGAAACATGATATATACTCTAGAATGAATAAAATATGTCATGTATGTAGTGGTATGAGTGGTGTCAGCAGTGGACGAGAGTTTGTCTGGAGACCGGGCAAAATACAAATATCATCTATACAGCTTATTTATATATCACAGTTCATCTAATATGACATAACAAACAATATAAATAACATAAAAACATGATATATACTCTAGAATGAATAAAATATGTCATTATGTAATAGGTGGAGGCAGCCACAACCGCTCCCTCTTTGTTGTGGTGAACACTGCCATCTAGTGACGGCTTTTGAAGCCGTCTATTATTATAATTATTATATGCAGTACATTATTATTATATATCTTTCTTTCTTTCTTTCAACACACTGGCCATATCCCACCGAGGCGGGCTGGCCCAAAAGGAAAAACGAAAGTTTCTCCTTTCAAATTTAGTAATATATACAGGAGAAGGGGTTACTAGCCCCTTGCTCCCGGCATTTTAGTCGCCTCTTACAACACGCATGGCTTACGGAGGAAGAATTCTGTTCCACTTCCCCATGGAGATAAGAGGAAATAAACAAGAACAAGAACTAGAAAGAAAATAGAAGAAAACCCAGAGGGGTGTGTATATATATGTTTGTACATGTATGTGTAATGTGACCTAAGTGTAAGTAGAAGTAGCAAGACGTACCTGAAATCTTGCATGTGTACGAGGCAGAATAAAAAGACACCAGCAATCCTACCATCATATAAAACAATTACAGGCTTCGTTTTACACTCACTTGGCAGGACGGTAGTACCTCCCTGGGCAGTTGCTGTCCACCAACCTACTACCCAGAATCATTATTTTTTTTTTTTTTTTAACAAGTTGGCCGTCTCCCACCGAGGCAGGGTGACCCAAAAAAGAAAGAAAATCCCCAAAAAGAAAATGCTTTCATCATCATTCAACACTTTCACCACACTCACACATAATCACTGTTTTTGCAGAGGTGCTGAGAATACAACAGTTTAGAAGCATATACGTATAAAGATACACAACATATCCCTCCAAACTGCAAATATCCCAAACCCCTCCTTTAAAGTGCAGGCATTGTACTTCCCATTTCCAGGACTCAAGTCCAACTATATGAAAATAACCGGTTTCCCTGAATCCCTTCACTAAATATTACGCTGCTCACACTCCAACAGATCGTCAGGTCCCAAGTACCATTCGTCTCCATTCACTCCTATCTAACACGCTCACGCACGCTTGCTGGAAGTCCAAGCCCCTTGCCCACAAAACCTCCTTTACCCCCTCTCTCCAACCCTTTCGAGGACGACCCCTACCTCGCCTTCCTTCCCCTATAGATTTATATGCTTTCCATGTCATTCTACTTTGATCCATTCTCTCTAAATGACCCAAACCACCTCAACAACCCCTCTTCTGCCCCCTGACTAATACTTTTATAACTCCACACCTTTTCCTAATTTCCCCATTCCGAATTTTCTGCATAATATTTACACCACACATTGCCCTTAGACAGGGCATCTCCACTGCCTCCAACCGTCTCCTCGCTGCTGCATTTACCACCCAAGTTTCACACCCATATAAGAGTGTTGGTACTACTATACTTTCATACATTCCCTTCTTTGCTTCCATAGATAACATTTTTTGACTCCACATATACCTCAATGCACCACTCACCTTTTTTCCCTCATCAATTCTATGATTAACCTCATCCTTCATAAATCCATCCACCGACACGTCAACTCCCAAGTATCTGAAAACATTTACTTCTTCCATACTCCTCCTCCCTAATTTGATATCCAATTTTTCTTTATCTAAATCATTTGATACCCTCATCATCTTACTCTTTTCTATGTTCACTTTCAACTTTCTACCTTTACACACATTCCCCAAACTCATCCACTAACCTTTGCAGTTTTTCTTTAGAATCTCCCATAAGCACAGTATCATCAGCAAAAAGTAACTGTGTTAATTCCCATTTTGAATTTGATTCCCCATAATTTAATCCCACCCATCTCCCAGAACACCCTAGCATTTACTTCTTTTACACCCCATCTATAAATATATTAAACAACCATGGTGACATTACACATCCCTGTCTAAGACCTACTTTTACCGGGAAGTAGTCTCCCTCTCTTCTACACACCCTAACCTGAGCCTCACTATCCTCATAAAAACTCTTTACAGCATTTAGTAACTTACCACCTATTCCATATACTTGCAACATCTGCCACATTGCTCCCCTATCCACTCTATCATATGCCTTTTCTAAATCCATAAATGCAATAAAAACTTCCCTACCTTTATCTAAATACTGTTCACATATATGCTTCAATGTAAACACTTGATCTACACATCCCTACCCACTCTGAAACCTCCTTGCTCATCCGCAATCCTACATTCTGTCTTACCTCTAATTCTTTCAATTATAACCCTACCAAAACACTTTTCCTGGTATACTCAATAAACTTATTCCTCTATAATTTTTACAATCTCTTTTGTCCCCTTTCCCTTTATATAAAGGGACTATACATGCTCTCCGCCAATCCCTAGGTACCTTCCCCTCTTTCATACATTTATAAACAAAAGTACCAACCACTCCAACACTATATCCCCCCCTGCTTTTAACATTTCTGTCATGATCCCATCAGTTCCAGCTGCTTTACCCCCTTTCATTCTACGTAATGCCTCACGTACCTCCCCCACACTTACATTCTGCTCTTCTTCACTCCTAAAAGATGGTATACCTCCCTGACCAGTGCATGAAATTACCACCTCCCTTTCTTCGTCAACATTTAAAAGTTCCTCAAAATATTCTCGCCATCTACCTAATACCTCCCTCTCCCCATCTACTAACTCCCCTACTCTGTTTTTAACTGACAAATCCATACTTTCCCTAGGGTTTCTTAACTTGTTAAACTCACTCCAAAATTTTTTCTTATTTTCATTAAAATTTCTTGACAGTGCCTCTCCCACTCTATCATCTGCTCTCCTTTTGCACTCTCTCACCACTCTCTTCACCTTTCTTTTACTGTCCATATACTCTGCTTTTCTTATACCATTTCTGCTTTGTAAAAACCTCTCATAAGCTAACTTTTTCTCTTTTATCACACCCTTTACTTCATCATTCCACCAATCACTCCTCTTTTCACCTGCCCCCACCCTCCTATATCCACAAACTTCTGCCCCACTTTTCTAATACTGCATTTTTAAAACTATTCCAACCCTCTTCAACCCCCCCCCCCCACTACTCATCTTTGCACTAGCCCACCTTTCTGCCAACAGTCGCTTATATCTCCCCCGAACTTCCTCCTCCCTTAGTTTATACACTTTCACCTCCCTCTTACTTGTTGTTGCCACCTTCCTCTTTTCCCATCTACCTCTTACTCTAACTGTAGCTATAACTAAATAATGATCTGATATATCATTATGATCTGATATATCATTATTATTATATAAATAATTTGTAATTTTTATTCACACAAAAAATATAAGAATTACTATTAATCCTTATTGCAATAACTGCATAAAAAATGTCAACCCATTCACGACTGCATGTTGGAATGGACATTTGTTTACTCTGAAACAGCCAAGCAATGGACCATTTCTCCAAGGTTGAGCTCAATTTCAAGGAACTTTTCATCATGAAAGCAATCAAAATCATATCTATTTCTGTAATATATCTTCCATTCTATCAAATGAGACCAAAAAACGAGAATACAATAATAAAAACCATTCAAAATTACCGCTAACGGGTGGTTAATTGCTGAGAAGTGAACTCCATTATTTATGCTTAGATTTCTTTCATTTTTGGTGTACGTTAAGAAGCATCTTTCCATCATACATTGCCCAAGTTTCAATAAGATAGTCCAACAAACAAATGAGATACAATTCCCGAGATCAAGAGCAAGAGCCCCTCACCAGTGTCAAGGAACATGCCTTGAGGTCTGCTCGCTTGTGGAAATTTTGCTCGCGTATGGAAGCAAAAAATCGACCCATCGACTGCTCGTATTTGGAAAAAATTCACACGTGG